GGCTTGAGTTGTGTCTGAACTCCAATGAGGCTGCAGAAGGAGTCATACTGAAGCTGGGATTTGTGTTGGTGTCTCTGGTGGTTGTGTTCTAGAAGATCATTAGCTAAAGCATATAGTAGCAAGGATTTTTCTTCTTAAAAAAAATTGGCCATGGTATCAGTTTTCATTTGGCAAATGGAAAGGTCTTCAGGAAGAAGGAACATCTGTACACAAAGTGGCTTTGTTTCTTTACAAACAGATGTCTTGGAATGGCAGATTATGTCCCGTACATCCTAAATCGCAGGCAAGCGCTAGTGGCAACCTTCAGCTGAAGTTTCAGGGGCTGCAGTTCCTGCAGGGCTAAATCCCTGCTCTTCGCATGTAGACAAATTAACCTCCTAATTTTCATCCATCAGCTTTCTAGGAGAGCTGGTTCCTCTTTCCTGTGGCGTCAGCTTGAGTTTCTCAGCCTGCCCCATGCTCATGGCTGAGGTAGAAGGTGGTCCTTTCTGCTGGCCCCAGCAGCGAGGGACCCCCGAGAGATCCCTGACCTGATGTGGGTGCTGCGGCCGTCATGCCCCAGTGCCACTGGGCTTGGTCTGCTGTCAGGAGGAAGACTGCAGGGGAAAGATAGTTTTAATGATGATTTGTTGACTTTGTTTGTGTGGTAGACACTTGAGCTGCCTTACCTCTGGATTGGTACATTTTTTGTTGGGTGAGATACCAGTTTGTAAGTTGAGTGATATTTTCAGCCAGGAAGCAGAAACAAAATTTCCAGCTGTGACTGAATGCTTTTGTGCTTGGCTCTTGGAGGGCCTCCTCTGAATACATAAAACTAATGAAGAGACTCTTGGCTTTTTTTGGTAGGTGCAAGCCAGGTGTTAAATTAATACCTGCTTTTTGAAATGCAGCTCATAAATTGAAACATGAGATTTTTAGGTCAGAGGGATTAAAAATCTTTTTAAAATCTCATTTGCTAGTTGTTCTGGAGTTAAATATGTGTAGGTAAGAAGGACGGTGGTTTGTGTGAAGTGAATGCAGCCTGCCAGAGTCTGGGCAAGGCCAGCTAGGGTCACTGGGACTGGGGGAGTCGAATGCAGCAAGAGTGGATGAAACTGAACCTCTCAATCTCCTTAAAGAAGAAGGTTTTCTTAATGCAGCACAGAGGACGGCTGGCACTGGGCGGCAGAGGTGCTGCGAAAGGTAGTGTGGTCAGATGAAGAGAGGTGGGCAATCCCAGGGCTTTTCTGAGCATCAAAGATAACTGCTCAGCAAGAACTTCTGGGTGTCAGAGCTGGAGGGGAAGCACTGAAAGTGGCCTCCCAGTCCCCAAGGCAGGAGAGGAGGCCAGTTAGGTCCTTTGCAGAAGAGTAGGCAAGGAGGTACAGCAAGGAAGAAGGCTGTGCTGCTTTCCACAAGCAGTGGAAAAAAGCCTTTTGTCTCCCTAAAGCCCTGCTTTAACCCCCAGTTTTAAGAAAGGATTTGGAACCCAAAAAACTTACAAGTTTGCTTATTTATTGTAAGCGTGTTTTAAGTGCTTGGCCACTGAGTGCCATCTTTTTAAAAGTGGGTAGTCTGTGGTTTGATGTGTGTTATTTCAAAGATCTGTCTCTGAGCAGAAAGTGGGATATCAGCAGAAAAATATTTCCAATATTTCCAAATATTGGAAATAGTCAGTGCAGGGAGAGAGATTAAAATCCAGCCATGTGGATTGCTCACACTTAAAAGCACTCAATGTAAATGCAAGTCATAATTAACCGAATAAAATCTCTTTTGGTTTTCTCACTATTAGACATTCCGTCCTGCTGCAATGTTGATAGAAAGGTCATCTGATTTTGGAAAAACGTGGCAAGTATATAGGTATTTTGCATATGACTGTGAGAGCTCATTTCCTGGGATTTCAACTGGACCCATGAAGAAGGTGGATGATATCATTTGTGATTCCCGATACTCCGACATTGAACCTTCAACGGAGGGAGAGGTCAGAGCAGTTTTTTCCCAATATGTTTATTGTGTCAACTTTTTCTATACAAATTCAGATTCTCTTATTCTTAAAGCTGAATCTTTCATTGTACCATTTTTCCTCCAGGTAATATATCGCGTTTTAGATCCTGCTTTTCGAATTGAAGATCCGTACAGTCCAAGGATTCAAAGTATGTATGCAGTTACCTTCCAGGCTCATTTGAAAGCATTTCTGTACTTATTTGCTTACAAAAAACAGTAAGCCACAAGTAAAGCCATGCATTAGTCCCGATAGCAGTTTTGAAGTCACATGAATACATTTGTGGTATGGCTTCTCCTCCTGACTCAGACAGTGACGTGCTGGGAAATAACCATCAGTGTTGTCAACTCAAGTGATTGCTTTTACACGCATCATTGTAGTTGGTCCTTTTCGTAATTGATCAGGGATTTATTTTCATTAAAGACCCCCTCTCCCCAAAATACATGCAGTCACCGAGAGAAACCTTGGAACGTGATCCCGTAATTGTACAGTATTCAGAAAACAAAGAAACAGAACTACAAAGGTACTTAAATCATTTTGCATTTCTAGCTAAAATCAAGGGGATTGTGTTTTATTTTTTGGAACATCTGAGTCATGACTTTAGAACAGTTGGCCTTGGTAGCACTGCATGGCTGGACCAGACAGATGCGGTTGTAAAACACAAATTACTGTAGCGTTTGTGTACGGTCATGGCAATCCAGGAATGCAAAGGGAGAGAGATCTGTTGCTGAGCGTGGCTCAAAGAGAAACCTCGTGGGGCATTTGGCCTGATTAGGGAACTGCAGTGCTTGGCCTTAAACTTGACCTCCGATTTAATATGCATTCTCAGTTTCAGTTCATGTCCTTCAGGGTAAAGCTAACTGGAGCAGAAGGAAATATCTGAAGTAGTAGAGTGTCTGCTAGTTGCTATATCAGTTGAATGTTTTTTTAACCAACATTTTAAAGGAGAAACTCTGCTTTCATGGGCCTGAAGTGCTTTTTCAAGCCTACTTTCAAGGGTCTAAGAAATTACACAGGATTCATAATATCAAAGTGAACATGTAGACTGAATTAATTACTGCGATATTGTCTTCCCATGGATTATCCCTCAAGAACTTCTCCTTTGTATTTGGTCAGTGATGGGGTGTTGCTTCTTTCAGCAAAATGTAACTAATTATATTTGCTAGGAAAGCTGGGCGTATAAAAAAGAATTATTCGTGTCTTGTTTCCAACTACGATTTTTTTTTCCAGAAGGCTCGTAACTCTTAAAGCTCCTGGTCCACTTGTCAGCAGTTCCTTAATATCAGGTCCTTGCCCTTCTTACGTTTTAAAGCTCCAAAGAACCAGTGTTTTTTTGGTGGTACTGTTGTGCGTGCCTTTAATATTTGTGTTTGTGCCTGTGTATGTCTACAGTAAAATAGTTTTTAATTAAGCTTAAACTAACTTGCACAGAGATCAATCTGTAGTAAAATAATGTAATTTTTTTTAAATTTGGGAGTATGAAGTGATGTGATGTGTAGTATGTAAATGCTGAAATTAAATCTGATCTAATCTGCCCATAGGAAGTGTGCTTGGGAAGTCACTCCTGGCTTCCTCCCATTCAATACAATATCTGGTAAATAATTCCAAAACGGGGTTTGGTTTTTTTTTGGTGTCCCTTGCAGACCTATTAAAGATCACAAATCTGAGAGTCAAATTCATCAAGCTGCACACACTGGGGGATAATCTTTTGGACTCCAGGATGGAGATCAGAGAGAAGTACTACTATGCCATCTATGACATGGTGGTTCGCGGGAACTGTTTCTGCTACGGACACGCCAGCGAGTGTGCACCAGTGGATGGCTTTAACGAAGAAGTGGAAGGAATGGTAAATATCCACACCTTTCTGCATAAAGCTGTCTATGCCTCTTTTAAGTGATTTAAACACAAATTTAAAGATCACGCTCTCCCCCCCACTCCTCACCCTTAATTTTCAAACAAGAAAACCGTTCAAACTATTCCTCCTCAGCAAATGTGTCTGTCATTATTGGTGTTAATCAAGCACAGAGAGCTCAGATTAGGTGAAAATTGTTTTAGCATTCCTTTTCTAATTAT